GGTGGGAGGAGAGTTCCTTAAGCGGAATTCGTCTATAGAGCGAAGCGGAATTCTTCTATAGAGCGAAGCGGAATTCTTCTATAGAGCGAAGCAAAAAGTCGGATGACTGTTCTGATGACTTCCACACAGGTGGGGAAAAGTTAAGTCACAGTCATCCACGACAGGAAGGCTTTCACCCGGAAGATCAGGAAGTTCTCTAAGCAACAATCTTACTTGGTACTTATATACTTGAAATTAGCAATTGGTGTTCTTATTGTTAAGTGACAAGTAGGTTTTACAAGTTAGCGGTCCGTTTTTGATTTTTTCTATCACGCGCTCTTATAGCCTGAGTGACCCGGCAACAGAGAGAAGTTAATTAAATTGAATCAAATTTCAGATTTTACAATCACAAAGATAATTAAATCAATCAATCTCTCAATCTGAGGTAGGCTTAAAACAGAATACAAGACTCCTTGAAAATTAAGCCACCAACTAGTTATCTAGTTAAAAATTAATCCACCAACTGTTAACTAGATGGGAATGTTCCGTTAGCGTGTTAAAACTGATCTTTTACCCCTTTTTGACAGCTTAATGAAGAAGGCGAAGCTTACGGAGAAGGTAGGTCAATCAGCATTTAACCTCAGGTTTGCTGGTAAAACAAATTTAAATGTTCTCACACCGCGGCCGAGTACATCAAGAAAGTTGTTCGGCGTATGGGACTTACTATGGGATCCTGTCTTTAATCCTAAAGAATAATAAAGCCGATGAAATAATCTTTCATTTGTAATAGACGCAAATATTTGTAAAGTAACTAAGTCTGATTTGTTTGTCTTCGTGTGCTTAATCCAGGTGACCGCAAAAACGCCGTTGCAAGGGTATGGGTAAAGAAAGGCTCGGGACAAGTCACTGTTAACGACGTTCCTTTCGTCAAGTATTTTCCCCGAATGGAAGACAGGCACGTTACTCGCCATTTTTAACTGAGTGTTTAAAGTAATCTGATTGGATTTGCTTTACTTCGTTCTGTGATTGGTCTTGAAAACTCGTGCCACTCTCTTAACCAATCAGGTGCAAAACTAAAACCAATCACGACTTGTTCACCCACGTTTCCCCGCGCTTTGGCCAGTTTTCTTGGTTTTACGTTGAGTTCTTATTGGTTCTTGAGAATATTTTCCTTTCTTCCGATTGGTTGAAAAGCGCACTGTCATGCAATCAATGGCTCGAGTAACTACAGTCACTAACTTAAGTGAAAGCAGTGTTCAACCTTTTTCCTTCTTCGACTCTCAATAGCAAACCGCTTCAGATGTTGAACTACAGATTTCAGCTTCAAGTACAAATGGGCGAACATGGTCCTGTGAAAGTTTTCCTTTAATTTCGCCATGACAGCTCGATTATATTAATATTCTTGTCTTAGTCGTTTCTTTCCGACTTAGTTCTCTTGTTATCTTCTATTTTAGGAAGCAAATCATGTCACCATTTCTCGCCATTAATGCAGTGGGTGACTATGATGTGAGAAGTGAAGTTCTTGGAGGGGGACACTCAGGTGAGAACTTCGCGCATTGGTTGGTCTTCACTCACTTCACGCTCTGATTGGTGAATAAAACTCGCGCCAGCGCCTCTCTCGACCAATCGGTTTTGAGACAAAAACTAAATGCTACTTGGTTAATCGCATCTCTTTCGCTTCAAGCAGTTTCTTTTTTTCCTTTTTTCGGTGATTTTTGTGTGTGTGTTATCTACAGCAAGTCTGATTTTCCGTCACGAAAATTGTGGCTTTGGTTTTACGACACTCGTTGAAGAAAAACTCAACTTTCAAGTCAAACAATTTTCTTTCATTATCACCAATAATACTAAGCGATGCAGAATTCCGAAAGCCATTTGAAACCAAATCTTTTGTTACCGTTTGGCACCCTTAACACACAAACGGTCTGATCCCTTGACACTGTTTCCGGAATTTACAGCAACCTGGTAGTGGTGACCATTGTTCATGATAAGGTGCGCAAAAAAGCCATACTTACATATTTTTTTTCCTGTCTATGCGCGCAAATTAAAGTGATTACTTGGGACTAAGACAGCTGTGTGTCTGCTAATACGTTGTAATTTCATTATTAAAAATCGAGTTTCCAGATGGGATTTGAACCCACGACCCTCCGTGATCTAGTCGGATGCTCTAACCACTGAGCTACAGGAGACTCTATGGTGAGCAAGGGTCAGTTAGTGGGTATTGACTGGAACTGCATCACGCGGTTACACAGCCAAACATCTAACCGATCTAGTCGGTTAGAGCATCCGACTAGATCACGGAGGGTCGTGGGTTCAAATCCCATCTGGAAACTCGATTTTTAAAAATTGTTTATTTCATCTTTACAATTTCATTATTGTCTTGATTTTATAACCTTTAGGTCAGTCTGGTGCTATTAGGCTTGCTATCAGTAGGGCGCTTCTTAACTTTGAAGACAGCTATTTGGAACCACTTGAAGAAGGTACGAGGCTCATTTTTTCAATTTCTATCTTCGATCCGTGATTAGTGCGAGCCCAAAGATGTCTATTCCTCTCTTTGTTACGGGAATGTCTGTTGCTTTTCAAGGCCAAGGGCAGGCTTTCATCGCCAGGAATAGAAATCAGAAGACATAAGTTGTTACCCCTGGGCTGGGGTATCAAAAATACAACATGTGAGATCAAACTGAAAGGTTGAAGTCCAATGCCTCTGAATTTAAAGTCCTCTTCTGGTGAAAACACTGTTTCTTAA